TAGAATAGAATTTTTAATGTTGTCAATAATATTTGTAAAGGAAACAGGCTCTATATGTGCCGTTTACATATATTTCAGTTAATATAGAAATTTTAAGTCGTCACTACATCATCACTACATCATTCATTCATAGTTCAGACATGAGTTATGTCATTGTTTGGGAAACCCACCACAAGCTGGGACTCAAGTCAGCGACCTTCTTGCTCTGAGACAACAGTGCTAACCACTTAGCTACTGTGCTGCCCAACTGGTAAACAGTGTTCTTTAATACATATCCTATTGTTTTCTGCATAAAGTTGAAAGTCTTTGAAATAATATAACTGTGGGAAAGTTTAACCCTTTATCAAAAAAAAAAAGTTAAACATAAAAAGTGTTTTGAGATGGATTATAGGTAATTGGATGTCAGTCTGATAGGGTATATTTACCTGGACATAGTAAATTTAAGACCAGTTTAAAATTATTTAAGACCTACAACGCATTATTTCAGTGAACTAAAGACTTTTTAAGCCGTAAAATTTAGTTTTTGAAATTTAAGACTATTTAACACCCTATTCAGGTTTATATAATAGTTCAAATAAAAGAACCATTTATTTAAATATACAATTAATATCAAAGTAAAAGAAAATAATTTTGCATTATTAATGCATCCTTGTAAATAAATATATTATTATCTATTAAAACATACAAACCAAAAAGGCCATGCATTATAACATCCATCTTTTTGAAATAGAAGCTTCAACAATGCAATGATTTATACAATGGCAACCATTGCAGCATTCTGGCATGTTGCATGTTTTGGTATCAGCTGTTTTGGACAAGCATAATTTTACAGCGACAAACACTCATTATGTTTGGCAAATTTGAGCTTAACCACTGTTGAAAAGAGGTGTCATATTTTTGCTCAGTTTTGGAAGCCGGCTTCGCAAGGCACACTCTGGAAGTATTGCCAAGTCCACTTGTTTATTGTATTTGTGCTTGGCTCATAACACGAAATGGTTTATGAAGTTGATAAAGTAGGCAGGTGCAGTTTGTGACATTTTGGTGTGTGGCTTCTTTCCAAGATAAAGTGTTTGCATTTAAATTTATTATGGGCTTGTCCTGTCGCTGTCAAGATGTATCTCTTCCCTGTGATTTCTGAATCATAGACTGAAAACAGACACAGCTGTAATGCATTTAAATGGTACACACAGCAAAATTATATGGTATGGTATGGTATGGTATGGTATGGTATGGTATGGTATGGTATGGTATGGTATGGTATTGTATGGTATGGTATGGTATGGTAGGGTATGGTATGGTATGGTATAGTATGGTATGGTATGATATAGAAGTGTATGGTATACTATGGTGCAAATGATATTCTTATGATAAAATTCATGTCATGCACACTGTGTCTCTAGAACCTTATTGGCTTGAGACTCAAGATTAATTCACTTCCATTGATTTTTAGCCATAAATAAACTCTTTATGCTCCTTGATGTTGCAAACTTGGATTTTCTTATTATATAATTTTTATGTATAGTCATGAACATACATGTTTCTAGGGGAAATAGTTTGACCGTTTATTACTGTTTGTTATTCCTAGTCATTTCTCCACAGGCAAGTCAATCAAAAGAGCTTCTCATTGCAGAATACATTTGGCTTTTTATGATTCTCTGATCTAAAATTAGAATATTTGTCAAAAAACATTATATAGTATGCATTAGCTGGCTTTTTACAAATGAAACAATGGCAGAAGCAGCCATTTAGAGATCTTTTTCAGTTAATGATGTCACAGAGTATATATATTTTTTATACATATTTAGTATTATGAGTGTCTTTGTATTTAGCAGGAAACTCATTCCAGTTATAATCTGTATTAGCTGTAATAGTTACTCTGCGAAAGGTGCTAATAATTCAACAAACCATTCATAAAGACAGTCATTGCTTCATTTCTAAATGAATCTGCAGTTTTGAATAAATATCTTGAATTAAATAACAGTCCCTTTTCATGTAAGTTTTATTTTACATGGCATGGTTTATAATTCTGAGGAAAATAAGGTTTCATTAAAAAATTAAGTAATTTAGCCTGAGAGAAGGACATTTTCTTTGATCCAACTCTCTGCCTTAACACCAGAACTACATTGTATAAAAGGCTGGGTTCAACACAATTGCTTTGTGTTTACATAACATAAATAAGTTTAGGTCAAGATGCATATGTGATCTGCCAAAATGCAAACCGTTTAGCATATCTTTGAAACACAGCCCCACCCCTACTGTCCAAAGCCACGCCTCCTAATATCATGAACGCACACCTTAAAGATGACAGTGACAACCCATTAGATCATGTCATTTGCCAGTGAGAATATTGTATCTAGCACGTTTTCATTAGTGTAGCAAGCAAAACTTGTCGTAATGTGCAATATTTCATCAATGCAAAGATGCACTCTCAGGTCTCACTCTCAAAGCTTTGTCCTATAGCCACTACTGTATGCTTAGTTTGGTCGGCGGGGTGCAGGAATTACACTTACTACTAAGCCATACTTAAAAGCAATTTCAGACTGAATATTCAAAGTAGTATGGTAAACAATATAGGGAGCGCGTCACAGGTTGCCATTGTTCAAAATGAACCAATGTAAATGTAAACAACTTGACCTTAGTAAAGCAGGCTGTGCGGAATAGCGCAATTTACTTATGTTTTGTTGTTAAAAGGCCATGAAACCCTCCTCTTTTAGTTCAAATCAACCTCAGAATTTATTTAAAAATGCTCTGAGATGGGTGTGGAGCTCTGCGGACAGAGGGAGGAATGGGAGTGGGTGGCAGAGCAAGGGAAACAGAGGGAAGCGACCAAATGTCAGTTGGCTCACAAAATGAGACACAAACCGAGAGGAGACCCATGATTTTATAGTTTACAAAGTTAAAATGCAATGAAATAATGTCATTTAATGGCCTGCTACATTTGTTATTCATAATTTACAATACACATAACCACAATTTGTTATATCATTATAAACATAATCATGTAAACCGTATAAATAAGAAAGGACTTCTCTCCTCCTCAATCCCCGGGTCTAAATGCAGACACAGTGGATAGCAGTGCAGCAGATCTCTTGCCTTGTCTATTCCAACCATTAACCCTGCTAGTAATCTGTATGATTTTAAACATAGGCGAACACATCAGCACGGATATAGGTAATGTGTCTAAAAGTCTGTCATTCTCCAATTCTCTTACAGCTCTCTCAACAAAAATGCTTGCTGGAAGCCAACAGCTTTGCTTTATTGGCCCTGACAGCTTCGTGGGAAAAAACATGCAACAAACCCAATGTATCATTGAAACAGACACATACGACCTGTGCCGTGCGCAGTCTTACTCAGTCATTGAGTCTGAAAGCTTGGCAGGTCAGCCTTGCCCTCACAAAGCACGTGCTCTCATGAATAATTAAGAAGCAGGGTCTTCTCATATAATAAGAAAACTCTGCAATGAATTATAATGAGAAACTGCTGCATTATTACTCCACTCGCAGATTCGCGCTATTTCACTGATTTTGATCCCACCCAAAAAATTATTTTAAACCTAGAAGATGAAATTAGCTGACAACATATCTAAATTATCCAGGTTTTCCCACAAGTAAAGCTGACAGGTTCTAACTTCGTCTTAACTGATGCTCAACACACACAAATCTATTAAAATAAAAAAGTACTCCAGGGTTTCTTGAACCTTTAAATTTAAATTTAAAAAATCTACATTATTATCATTATTATGAAATTGAAAATAGCCACATCAGTCACTCGCCAGAAGATTTCAGTGGCTGAACAATCTGTGCATAAAACCCATTCATAAAACAACACGATCTACATAAGCTTTGTGTGACTAAAATACTTTTAAAGCAGAACATTACCTGTCTAAAAGAAATACTTCAGCCATGGTGTCATCCTTCCTCCAGCGTGCAAAACTAACTCTAACATTGATTCAGGATTTTAAAGTTTTGATTCAGCATTTGTTTTTGCCACTGTCACTCACTCTCTCTCTCTCATGTGCACATGAATGCATGCACAAACAGCGGATTTGTGTGAACAAGTGCGCAGATGTACAAATCTATATTTGTTGACAGACGGTTTGAGCTACTTATCAGAATTATGGATATTGTCTGCCCAACAAATTTTAATTGGATGAACATTTTATTCTTACGCCTTACCCAGATTATGAAAATAAATATAAATAGATCCTTTACTTCAATCATTACTATTGGAATGTGAAGAGACTTTCAACCAGCACAACAAAAATGTTTTTGAAGACAATCACCTTCTGCACTTTTAACACAATTCATTTTTATACATTTAAGTGGATTGAACATAAAGCAATTAAGTTGTCCCCCAAAAAACTAAATAATTGTGTTGTTTCAGCTCATTTTAAAAAAGTAGTTTAAACAAACAGCAAACATCATTTTGCAAATTAGCAACTTTGTTGAAATAAATCCCATATAACTATAGTTTGCTGTAGTTCTGAGTATTACTACTTTGAATGTCCATGAAAAACATTGCTCTCCCGCTTGCTATTCAAAATGAGGTACGCATTTTAAGGGCGGTCTAGTAACTTGCACACAATTATAAGCTATATAACAATAAAACATAATATTTTTAGATGATGTAATGATGTTATCAAATATGACAACATACATTGAAAGCTTCATTTTACAATCTCAAAAGAAGCTTTAAATGTAAATACTGTAAGATGACAAGTTAAATTCAGCACAGTCTTATATGAACATCATTCTAGTAATAGTGGTAGCTCCATTATTAAAAGAGTTTGACACCCTTGCTGTTGAAAATGTGTAGAGTTTTGTAGATCTGACCTGATTTATTCAGGAGTTGCAAAATACAAGAGTCACTCCAGTAAATTACTGAGCTGTGTATGTACCAAACAGGATTTGTCAGGATTAAGTGGATTGACATCTGAATGTAACTGCAGTGTTTACCTGACCCAAGTGACCTTTCTCCCCCCCTCATCTCTCTGCTCTTACCTTCAGGTAACAGATGAAGATGAATGTGAGAGGCGTGATGTATTGCAGCACCAGCATGCCGGTGGTGTAGGTGAGTTTGATTTCTCTGGAGGGCCACTCCTCCACACACACCACTTTTCCCCGATACTGCTCCTGAAACACTGAAGGCAGCTGCTTGAGCGGGGCGTCTGTCACCCGGGAGAACAGTAGAAAAGGTGTAGCGGTGAGGACAGCCAGGGCCCAGGTCAAGCTGATGCCCAGGCAAGCGTGGTTCAGGCTGGGCCTCCATCCACGAGGGTGCAGGATGAGTTGGTGTCTCTCAATGGCGATAAGAACCAAGGAGAATATCGACACTGAGACGGAGCAGCACTGAACCAGGCTGTTGAGTTTACACATGACCGCACCGAAAACCCAATGGTCCATGAAGGTGTAGATGAAGGTGAAGGGCAGACACACCACTGCCATCAGCAAGTCTGAAACCGAGAGGTTTGCGATTAAGACATTTGTGACATTGTGAAGCTCCCGCTGGCGTGCGATCACAAGGATGAGAGCCAGGTTTCCAATGACACCCAGCAGTACAACAGCACTGTAGGCAACAGCCATGATAACAAACAAAGAGTGGCTGCCATAGCACTCGTCGCCATATGCAATCGCAGAGAGGTTCGTGATTGAACAATTCGATAAGTCCAGGGAACAGTTCAGAGCAGCGATTGGTGGAACTGGCGGAGAGAAGGCGGAGTCTGGCATTGTTCCGCCTCCTCTGTAGTCACAGGGGGTTAGTTTATATCAGGTGATCATAGACTCCTTCCTCTTAGGTAATGATTTTTCCATGTCTTTGTAATTCTGGTAACACACTGTTGGGATATAAGAAAACATTCCAATCAATACTCAAGAAAGACAAGACCGTCTCTACTGTCATCTTTGATTACCAACCAATCTAGTTATAAAAAAAATCAATAAATGTTCCCTTCGGATTTATTTAATAAAGAGTTATTTTAATCTTCTGGCATCACCTTTTCTGTTGACCCCAGGCTTGTTGACCTTCATTTCTGAGACTTATTATTACACTTTTAAAGGGCAAGTCACTTTAATCCAAATTTAATTGTGCGATAATCATCTAAGAGCATTCCACGGGCAGTTTAATAATATTAGAGAAAAAAAAATGATAATAACGTTCCAGATTTCTTTAAAAGCTTTAATTAAGCTTGCGTTGGTGTTCATAGAATCAGAGAGTTAATTAAGATTTTGGCATTTGATTTTTTTTTTTTTTTTTTTTTTTTAAATGAAGCCATCAAATGCTCCCAGCTGAGCTACTGGGAAATAATAATATGAATAAAGCCACTAGATTTTGGCCCATATACACAACTGCACACACACATGCATTTTCATATTTAATGGGGACTTTTTATAGACGTAATGGTTTTTATACTGTACAGACTGTACATTACATTCTGTAATCACCATCGGACCCCTAAACACAACCCCTTCTGCCTTTTTAGATTTTCAAAAAGCATCCTTCTGTATGATTTATTCCTTTATTGAGACAAAAATAAAATGTCCAACAAGGTCAAAAATGACTTGTATTACTATACTTGAATGGGGCTTCGTGCCCATAGGGAAATTCAGAACACATAAACACGCACACCACAGTATTTTTCACTCATTTTGTTTCTATAATTAGCTCATGATATATTCAGTCCTCAACACTGCATATTTGCATATTTATTAAGACAAACATTAATATGTTAATTAAGCCATCTGCAATAAAGAAAACTCATTTTGATTCAATAATGCAATAAAAAATTGAGACATTCCATTTTTTTAGTCTGAATCAAATATATTTAAAACATGATTATATAAACAGCATGTTAAAGGTGCATCTTTTACTTTAAAGGGCACCTATTTTACCCCTTTTCGAAGATTTAAGATGTGTTTCCAGAGTGTGTCTGTAAAGTTTCAGCTCAAAATACCCCTCAGATTATTTCTTATACCTTTCAGAATATTGGATTTGTGTGCTCTGAACACATTGTAGCTGTTTTGTGGCCTGTGCCTTTAATGCTAGTTTCCCCCGCCCACCGTTCCCACATGCCTGTTGGAGTGTGCCTCAATCTCCGACTGCATCAGATAAACAGCACAGTGACAGACATGAAGGAAGCAGATTTCATGAAACGTTTGTGAGAAATACTATAGTAAGAACTTTCCCAATGATTATTTTATGTATTTGTTGTGGAATTAATTCAAGCCTTCCTGCAACGACAAGTCACACACAATGTCGTTTCAAAGTTCATGCGCGCACACAGACACACATACTTTAACTTTGTTTTTGCACAGCAATTGTGACAAGATACATGTTAATATACACTGCTATTTGGGCATCTGTTATTTTCATGTACAAAATAAATGTGATTAAATGTCCACAAACAGGGATTCTTCTTTTATAATTGTACTGACTTGTGGCTGTGCTGATGAAGTAAAGACGTTGAAATCACTGTAATTCATTACAAAACATGCATTGTTTTAAAAATGTTTAAACTTGTAAAACTCATTCTTGATCACATTTGATGATGACTGATGATCACAGAGAGCTGAACAGATCTTTTAATCCCAGTTGCTTTGCGCACATCCTGTCTTGTTAATTAGATTATACGAGTTACTACGGAGACATGTTAATACACAGCTGTCAATCAATTCAGTGTGCAGGGAAACCGCACTCCTACGTCACATTGCGGTGGGCCTCAAAATGAGAGGGATTTGGATCCTACTTTTATAATCAGGAAATTAAAAAAAGAGACTTATTGTGTTTATATCACCCCAATATGACACTCTATACTTGCACACAGTTCTGTCCAAATAACTTACAAAAGATGATTTTCATCATAGGTGCCATTTAATATTTAAAATCATTTTCATGCAAAATATACAAATGTGATCATAGTTTTTTTTATTATACTTTAAAAGATTAAAAAAAATGCTTTGATTAGTACTTTGAATGATAGGGTCAAGGTAAGTATTTATTTATTTATTTATTTATTTATTTATCAATATCCCCATTAGCCACTACCAAGGTATACTCTATACATTACAGTATGTTGCCTTGCATTAGTTTTGAAACAGGAAGCAAAAAATTTCCTGATGATAAAGTTATGACTAGCATTACTCAACAAATGTTGACAGTACAATACATTTGGAGCTCTTGACAAAGAAATATTTCTTATGAAACACAACAGAGAAACAATTACCCTATCTTTCACCAATAACCAACCTAAAGCTTTATGCATTTACATAATAATAATCCTTCTATTGCAGTGTAAAATTTGTTGTGTCGCTCTATTCTGGACTAACTGTAATTTATCTTTATTTATCTCTATTTATCTATAATTTAATTCTTTACTTGATGTAATCGACCATACCTCTGAACAGTAATTAAGATAAGTGTAACACTTTTTTTTTCATTAGTATTCTTAAGTCACTTAATTTGATATTAAATGATTTGTCCTCTAACTATGGGCTCTAATGATCTAGGCACAAAGTCTAAAGCGCAGGGTGCAAAAGCATTAAAGGCGTGTCCGAATCCACGTTTGATATTTTAAAGACAGAAAAATAAGATCTGCGCTGCAGCGCATGGTCCAACCGGGTTATGCTTATTTTCTAAATAAGTTCTGGGTGTGTTTTGAGAATAAACCAATCAGAGTCTCATCTTCTGTTCCTTTTAAGAGTTGCGTCATGCCATAGTGCATTTGCCGGACTTTGTAAGTGGAAAAACTGAATGCTTCAATAGCGAGAAAATAGTTAAACAGACCATCTGCAGCACGAGGATAAAGAACGAGCCTCCATTCGGCCTTTACTTTCCCTTTCTCTCTTTTATGGATAAGGAAACGGTGTTGTACACACAGACATCCATTACCTACATAATTAATTTCGTTTGTCAAGTGCAAAGATTTGTTTCTAAAATATTTCAAAATTCATTTCTAATTTCCAGCAAACAAATAAATGAGCAATAATAACGAAGTGTGGTCAATATAGAGTTATATCCAAACACACGTCCTATTCTTATGCCCCAATACTTGACAAGTGGACAAATTTAAGCTTGTTTTTATTAAAACAAATAAAAATATGCATATAATAAACAATACTGCTAATAATAATAACAAATAACTGTCACGAATAAATTAAAAAAGCCCCCCGAGATGAAGAAGGCATGGAGGCAGTGGTTTTTATATTTATGTAGAAAATAATCATTTTTGCAATATTTTAATCCTTTAATTCTTTTGTAATTTATTTGAAAGGATATTCGTGTATTGCTGTAGATCCTGTGTGTTTTAAGCAATGTGTAAGCGAGGCACACAACTAAAGCGCTCTGTGCTGGACTTTCAGCCGGTCTGTTGCACTGTCTATTTTAGTTCCTCAAAATAGCAATGCGCCAACAATGTACCTTAACACAGGTCTTTTCTAAAAAAGAACACCCATGAGTCCACAAAGTGGCTCAAATGGATTAGCTATTTAAACAACGTGGCAGGAAATGGTAAAATTACGGTGGCTTTGGTCTGAAAATAGCAACACGTCAGGGCAAACACATCTTGTGCCTTAATGCACCGGGTGTATGGTGTAATGCCTTTAAATAGATGTATGAAAAAATTACCAGAACACATTCTAATACAGAAATTACTTAAGCTGTATAACCCTATTGTTGCTTTACCTATTGAAAACCCTTCTCATCTTTGAGCTAGTTATAAATATTGTAGTCGACATTAACCTAATGACCCTCTAATTCCCTAAATGTCTTTAATATATATTGTGAACACACATAAGACCTCCTAATTAGAAACAATTTGATTCACAGACATAAGCGCAGACACAGTTCAGACATAATCTCTCTATGAATGGTCTATATATCAGAGTCAGAAGCAGGTTGTCAAGGTAACAGAGGTGACAAAGCCTCCCGTTTTTAGGTCTCTGGTTCTTTCATCTCCTGCTTCCTCGTCTTCTCTAACAGCAGCCAAATTCTCCCCCTTCGAAACCAACCGCTTCATAATTCACCACGTTCAGGTATTGTAAACAAACCCAATGAATATGTATTCAGCGGAAACCTAACTGCAAGCCCAGCCGCGAATCTCTGAATAACCTTTCTTATTCATAGCAGGCCAATTCGTTTACAGTACAATAGTCTCCTGCACATGAACTGCAATGGGATCTGCAGACGGTGGCTAATCCCAGGAGACTGGGGCTAAATGGCAGGCCGTTCGCATGCTCCGTGCGGAATATTCCCTTGATAGTGCTGTTCTACAAAGTGACCTTAAGAGTAGAGTGGGCTACAAAGGGAATACGCGAGCATTTGAAGCGGGCACTTAAATTTCAAGATGGACTAGCAGTCATTCATTTGTCTTTGCATGCCTGTACAGTGAACATCTAATTAGGTGTACCGAGTATTAAAAATGCATTTCTGCTACAATTATATTGCGTAATTGTCTACCGAGAAGTGGCTCAATGTCATTTAGGACTGAAGGAATGTGCGAAGGTAATTAACCGTTATCGTATAAGAGTTTGTTTGATTTGGCTTATTTTTTATGGACTACATATGGCAAATGCCATGACAAATATTACACCCTACTGTTAATTGTTCCGGTGGATCCTCATTAATACTTAAACTGTGCATAATAGTCTCCTATCGCACTGACATTTACTTTTAATCATTTAGCAGACTCTTTTATTCAAAGCAGCTTACGAATGAGAGGCGATAAGGAGATAATAAGGTGATAAGGAGACGTTAAGATGAAGAAAGTTCTAAGATTGTTCAGGGAACGACACGCTAGAACAGAGATAAAAGTGAGAAGGTGCTTTTTTAAAGAGTCGAAGG